TAGCGAAAAATAGTGATCCACTACCAGAGGCTCCATAGATTAATCAGACCTCCAAACTGACATCCATGTTCAAGGGGTCTGGGACAGTCCTATGATGGTTTCCATAGATCCATATCTATTGCCAGGCATAAAAGTTAAGTCCAATTAGGTCAGAGATCTCCACATAAATGCAGCCATATTAAACATATTGAAGAGAAAGTAGGTGGTATCTTCGAACAAATTGGTAAAGGAAACTGCTTCCTGAACATAACACCAGTAGCATAGACACTGAGATCCACAATTAATGAATGAGAAGTTTCTGCTAGGCAAAGGACACAGTCAACAAGACAAAAATAACAGCTCACAGAATGGGAAAAGATATTTGCCAACCCCATATCTGACAGAGGGCTGATCTCCAAAATTTACAAAGAACTCTAGAAGCTAGTACCAAAACACCAAATAATCCAATTAAAAAATGTGGGTCTAGAACTAAATAGATAATTCTCAGTAGAGGAATCTAAAATGTCTGAAAGACACATAAGGAAGTGTTCAATATCCCTAGCTATCAGGGAAATGAAAATCAAAACAACTCTGAGATACTATCTTATTCATGTCAGAATGGCGAAAATCCAAAACACCAATGACAGTTTATGCTGGAGAGGATGTGGAGAAAGGGGAACATTACTCCACAGTTGGTGGGAGTGCACACTTGTACAGCCACTTTGGAAATCAGTATGGAGATTCCTTAGGAAAATAGGAATCAGTCTGCTACAAGATCCAGCAATTCCACTCCTAGGCATATACCCCAAAATGCACATTCATACAACAAGGGCATCTGCTTCACTATGTTCATAGCAGCGTTATTTGTTATAGCCAGAACCTGGAAGCTACCTAGATTCCTCTCAACTGAACAATGGATGGAGAAAATGTGGTACATTTACATAATGAACTAGTATTCAGGAGAAAAAAAAAACAATGGAATCCTGAAATTTGCAGGCAAATGGATGGAACTAGAAGAAAACATCCTGAGTGAGATAAACCAGTCACAAAAGACAAACCTGGTATGGAATCACTCATATATGAGTTTTAGACATAGAGTAAGGATTTCCATCCTACTATCCCACTGCCAGAGAAGCTAGGAAACAAGGAGGACCCTAAGAGAGACGTACATGGTCCCCAGGAGAAGGGGAAAAGGACAAGATCTCCTGAGCTATTTGCAAGTATGGGGCAAGTGGAGAGAGAGTTAGGAGAAAGAGAAGGGGAGAGGAGTAGGGAAGGACAGGAGAAAGCAAGGAGATTGAGTCAGAGGAAGAATAGAGGAGAGCAAAACAAGAAATACCATAATAGAGGGAGACATTATAGGTTTCAAGAGAAATCTGACACTAGGGAAAAGTCCAGAGATATACAAGGTTGACCCCAACTAACAATCTAAGCAATAGTATAGGGACTACCTTAAATGCCATTCTCTGATAATGAGATTGATGACTACCATGTATGCCATCCAGAGCCTTCATTCAATAGCTGATAGAAGCAGAAACATACACCCACAGATAAACACTGAGCTGAACTCTGGAATCCAGTTGCAGAGAGGGAGGAGTGAAAGGGTCAAGACCAGGCTGGAGAAACTCACAGAAACAGCTGACATGAACTCGGGAGAGCTCATGACGCCCAGGCTCATTCATGTTATTATGTGACCATTTGCAAAGCCGAGTTATGTAATCAGTCTAGGTATCCATGAAGTAATGTGTGAATTAAGACAGTTGGTGTCTATACTCAACAGACTTTTGTATAGTGGTAAAGAAGAAGGAAACTGTTATTTGCAGGAGAGTGGATAGAATTGAAGATCATCATATTGAGTGAAGGGAGCCAGACCCAAAATGTTAAATACTACATCATTTTCTTTCATTCATTCCTGTTAGAATTTACACACACACACACACACACACACACACACACACACACACACACACACGCACGCACAAATGCACATGCACACATCCACACCCTGAAAATACAAAGAGGACTTGTAACTACCGAGGAAGGGGAGGTACATTATTGGAGGAGAGAGGGGAAAGGGAAGGATTATGGCGAGAAAATGTGTCAGAGTACATGACCCATCCAAACAGAAATGTCATTGTGAAAGTCATCACTTTTTTCAGCCAGTATATACCAATAAAATACTTTGATAGTGAAAAAGAAAGAAATTAAAATGAAAAATGTGAGTGCCTCACAATTTGGTGGCCCCCTTTTCCTCTGTCACTCTTGGTTAGTAATTGTTTTCCTCTGATGCTTACTTCTCTTTATCTCTGTTTCTATTCCATTGGGTTGTGGCTTATTGGTAGTAATATGACTTACCTGATAGGAAAGTCTGGGCATATTTATATACCATTTATTGGACCAAACATTGGTATTCAGATCTTTGTCACCAACGAAAACATTCATTTCCACGTGGTTAAAAAATTTCTGTGAGACCATCTGAAAAGCAGGCTTCTCTGCCCGGACAGCCACACGATGTGTTTCCTCTCCCATGGCCTGTGGAGTCCCTCTGCAAGTGTGTTTGTGGCTATGAGGCAGGATAGGAAGTCTGGAAGATTTAAATTCTTTACTTCTTTTAAAGGACAAGACCATGCAGTGTCCATTCCAGGAGGAGAGTGCCCAGTAATGAGTCTGGTACCAAATGGATGGCCTGGTACTCCCAAAGAAAGACACATATCAATATACCACGGCCTCTTCTAAGTCCCAAAGACTGGTGATGTGAACCTGAGTCTACTCTGTTCCTTTTGGCTGTTAAGAGTCCTACCAAAACCAGAGATGCCAAGTGTCAATTCCTACTGTCAGCTGCGCCACACTGAATGACTTTCTTTGTCTCCAGGTAAGGGGAACATCCCTGAGTTCTGCCTGTGCTCAGACGGGCAGAACTGACATCCATTGTGACATTCTCACTCTCCAGAGATGTGCAATTCTTCCTTTATAGTACATCAAGAAAGTGCTAAATTCTGATGTCATTGGCTGTAGGCACTAAAATTCCTTGTTAAGTGTCTCATGGAATTAACTGTTAATCACTCTTAATCATTTATTTGTAATGGCTCTGGAGCGCATCCTTAAAATAGATCAGTGCACATGGCCCCAGGCTCCCACCTCTTCAGAGTCCCCGCTGCTTTTTGCATTCTTAAAAATCTTTTTGCATTTTTCTAAGTATGTCGAGTCCCAGGTATTTCCTGGATAAACTAGTGACAGAGCCAGGACCTCCGTGACCAAGGTGCCTCAAAGAGTGGATGACTGGGTGTCCTGTCCTCAAGAAATGCCAGTTGTTCTGATGTTCCTTCTTTGGTCACAGACAGCGTGGACCACAACTGTCTAAGAAGGAATCAAGTTCTCCATTGCCCAAGCCAAAGCTCAGGCCCAGAGTTTTAACATCAAGGACACTGACGAAAGTCCTAGGGGATTGCCCTGCATAGGACGTGCCCTGTTTTGGCAGCGTCTCATATTCTCCACTGTCCTCCCTCTGTGCAATGCTCATCCGGGAAGGGCCAAGCCGATCTGTCAATTCCCAACCTAGGTTTGTTGCCCTTAGAAAAATATGTTTCATTCATATGTGCCAACGTGTGATGTAGAAGCTTCTGACATCCACTGAGCTATTGCCTCATGGTAGGTGCCTTTCTGTTTGATTTCGCTGTTTGTGAGGATGACTATTATGTCCAGTTTTCTGCTTCTTTGTGTTTTATTGTTTTTACTTGGGGGAGACAGCATCTAACCATCTACCTATGTAGCCCAATCTGGATTGTCCTAACCATTAATAATGGCTGGGATTATTATTTTATGCTGTGTCCTATTTGGCTGACAGTGCCCACGGCAAGGGGACCAAGGTTTGACCTTCAGGTAGTTTCAGATCCTAGCCACTGATGGTGCCAGAGTAGGACTGCCCCCCAAACTATTTTTTTTGGTAATAATATAATTACAACACTTCTCCCTTTTCTTTCCTCCCTCCCATACACTCTTCCTTGCTCTTTTCCAAATTTATATTTTTAGTTAATTGTTATTGCATGCATATACGTATATACATATGTATTTCTAAACACAACCTGATCAGTCGGTATAATATTGCTTGTATGTGCACTTGGGGTCCAACCGTTTGGTGTTTGATAATCAGTGGGTGTGCTCTTCCCTGGGAAGTCATTTCCCCCAGTCTCCTCATTCCTTATTTGTCTGCAGTTGTTTGTGTAGGGGTTGAGACTTTGTGTGCCTTTTCCTGTCTGCCCTAGCATGCCTATTGGTGTCGTCCTTGTTCAGCTCTTGTTTACCTAGTCAAGTTGGTGAGACTTTTGGGGGCAGCTTGGTCCTGGAAACCTAGCAATCGTTTCAGTACCAATGAAGTCATAGATGTTGGAGGAGGATGTACAATTTAACTACACCAGCATAATCCCTAATAACAATCTATAAGCGATTTGTCCTTGTTCCCAGGTAAGTGTAGTCTTAACCCTTCATCAAGGAAATGTCTCACAGCAACAGAAAGGATCGCTACAGAATACCACAACCATCCTAAATGTTGAGTTGTGGAGCCCAGTTTCAATGGGTACATCTACAAAACACTTCACCTTCTGCTCTGGGAATATCGTGGAAGGGGGCAGAAAGATTACAAGAGCCACAGGACCGGAGAGTTCGCTGTGAGTTCGTCTCTCATCCTCCTTATAACGTCAGGTCACTTCCAGTTGAATCTCCTCCTGTGCTGCGAGTGAGACCTGGAGACTGACACAGCTGCCTTGTCTTGGGGGGACTTAACGTCCTGCTCCCTGTGGTTGGCTTGAAGGCACAGGAGCTCCGGCAGGAGTTAGAAGAAGGGAGGAGCATCCTTCAGAACTAACCCTTTTTACTTTGCTGCCGCAAACACCCAGGTGTAGAACCTGCTAAGGTGTCTGGCTTCCAGGAGATGCCGTCTGAGAGGGACAGTTGGTGTCGCTCATCCACAATGCTGGCAGTGCCCACCCGGTTACGCTCAAACGAGAAGCACAGGCAGTTCAGCATTTCTGACAACATGTGCATTTATTTTGTATCAGAAGTACAAACGTAGGAATCCAAATACAAATACAGAGGGCGACCCAGTCAAGAGGCTCAGCTGGCTTCTGGCTGGGCTTGGCCCTGAGGGCTCGGCGGGGTCGCGACGTGCAAGGCAGGGCGCGGTGCCGCCGGGGTTGCCAAGGCACGTTGGGCACAAGGGCGCCCTCGCTTCACTAGGACACCACCACGAGATGCAGGGTACAGGGAGTCACGTTTTACAGTGGAGAGGAGGACCCTCGGGGACAGCAGAGCACCCAGGGCTCTTGAAAGACACTGGCGAGGGGCCAGCCTCTGACCCTGTCCCTAGCTCTCTGAGGGGCCAGCACTTGGGCAGGCCAGGTTACCCCTCCTCCCATCCAAATCCTTCTACACTCATCCCTTGTTCAGAACTGATGCTAAAATGCTGTGGGCTTCTGGAATCAGCCCCACCATAGGCTCCACAGGCTGCAAGGACTCCGAGCAGACAGAGTGGACCCCCCACATCTCTTTGCCTGGGACACGGTCCAGGACCATGAACGTTTTCCTCCACAGAACCGCCCTGCATACTCCGTGGCGGACTCCTAGGCTTTGAAGTTTCAAGCCAGCCCTGATCCTATCTGGGTTTATCTGAGAACAACTACGTGGCTTCCCAAGTGAACACTGCAATGCCGGTGTAGCATCTAAATATTGAGAAGGGCTTTCAATGCATTAGGTACACCTGGCCGCAGTACACAAATAATCAAGGCACCCAAGTAACTTGGTGCTTCCGTGCTCTTCACATCAGCTTCCGGTCAGGCACCGCATCTTGATTTTTTTTAAAGGATGTGATCCCATACTTTGGGAGAATACAATGATTGTCTCTTAACTCTATCTGGGCCCCTCTCTCCCTTTCCCCTTCTCCCCCTGTTTCCTGTCTGCCTTCACCAGAGGCTCACTAAGCTAACATGCTATCACTAGGAAGCTGTGCTCCTCTAAGGGTTTCAACTAAATTTGGGGTGACGGGTAGAGTAATGCACACATTAATAAGTTGTCCAGTTTCACCGCTGTACACACGAATACAAAAAAACGCACATCACTGCATGTAAACACAAGATAACCCCGTCACTTCAAACAAGATGCAGGTCAGTCCCTGAAAAAATTGTCACTCTTTCTAGAGTCTTTCATGGAGAACACAGATAAGCAAAGCTTTGCTGAGTGCAGGAGCTGCTTACCAAGAGGACGTGTATCTATAAACAAACATGTCAGTATGTAAACGTGGTTCACTAACACAGTTGGCCATTGTGCCTCTGGGGCTATTTCCATTATTACTCTAAACTGAAAAAAAAACAATCATGTATTTAAAGTGACTATAATTAAAGAAAATGGCAACATGAACTGGTGGGCATTATTGACTCCTAGACCCAAATGACATGGACAGAGACAGAGTGGTGGTTTCTTTGGGCAATAAAAAAATCACAGATTCCAAAGAAGCAACCCCATGAGAAAAAAAGAAATAGTCTCCAGCCAATTAAAACATTATCTAGAAGAAAATGACTAAAAATGTCCAATGAGGTAAAAATGAAAAGGAAGAGAGAAACACCAGGCGGCACGCACTTCTTATGCACTGAGAAATCCTTGAAGCAGGGTGGGTGGACTTCTGAAGAAAGAGGAGAAATCTAGACTCTGATCTACTGTTAAAAGGTTGAAAGTTCAGTCATAAACTTCTGCTTCTAATCATAGGGACAGCTTAAAAAAACAAACTCTTGTTTGCTTCCTATCTTTCGTCTTCATTTTTATTTTTAATTTTTAAGACCACCCTGAAAGTGCAAGGATACAATAGTGTCACCAGTTAACTGAATGTCCCCTGTGACTGTCAAGGCTAGGCAGAGGGTTGGGCAGCTGGGTCTTCCCAATGTGGGGTTCTGTGTGTTGGGGGACTTCACCCTCACATAAAAATTTGATAGAAATCCTGTTATAAACATGAATGACCCTTGGTAAAAATATGTTGCAGTGAATATTAATTATTTTAGAGCCCTCATTGATAACTCAGCCTGTCTGGGGAGAAAATCAGAAGGTGGACCCCATGCCATGTTTTCTTCAGCCATGCATGACCTATTGTATCCTCCACAATGATTCTCACAACACTCATGAAGCTATGGCTTAGCTTCAGAGGTCTTTTCCCTAAAATGATTTTGGGGTTCACTATATAAAGTCTTAGGTGTTAAAAAGTGATTGATGGCAGGTGGGAACTATTTTTTTTTTTTGCCTGAATGGATGTCAGTGGTGATAATCGTAATTTTTTGAAATGTCTTGTATTCTGGGGACTGAAATAGCCATGTTGTAAGCACCTGATCTAAGAATGCATATTTAAGAAAAGAACATTGGCTTGGTCGTGTACATGTACTGAGATGGTACTTCAGTGGGTAGGACAACCAGGAGATATCTGGATCTAAGTCTGTTATAGGAAATGTAAACATTACAGTCACTCCTCCAAATATGTAGGGGGCTGGTCCCAGGGCCCCTCAGGAAAACAGAACCCTTGGGTGCTCAAGGCCTTTGAACAAAGTGATACGTTATATGCATAGACACTATGCACATTCTTCCCTACACGTTCAGTCACCACGAGGTGTGCTTACACTGCTTAAGACAATTCTACGTCCGTCTCTCTTGCTCTGGTATAGTCAGGGAAGCAATGCTAGGGACAGAGACAGAAGTGTTTGGCATTCTTGATGGTGGCTGAAATCATGGATTCAGAATACGCAGATATAGAAGGCAGGCTGTACTTGTTTGCAAACATATGAAGAAGCATCTTTAAATGTTTAGAAAAGGACAAAACAAAGCAGGGACCAGCTCAGCTTGGGAGGATTGTTGTTACGACATTTGATCCCCAACCTGTTGATTTTAAACTATGTAGCAGACGGAGAAGCCTTTCTTAACTGCAGTAACTATTACTGACTCACCCCATGCAGCGTGTTCCCTTGGCTGGGAGAGCCCTTTACAGATGTGAAGAGTGAAGTAGTCTTAACTTTGGTCCTAACTGAATAGACCAAGCAAAGCAGTTTATATTTGCCTCAATTACCACGCACGACCTTTACTAGCTTCCTCTAACCTTTAACTTCTAAGCTTTAGCTTCTAGCCAAAACAACGTGTAAACTTTCTTAATTTTTGGATGTGTAGTGTGTGTGTGTGTGTGTAAGCATTTACTAACTCACATAATATAATCTTTAAAAACCTGGGAAACTTTTTAATGGCCAATAAGAGCTCAGTTCAGATTTCAGCGCTGATTTACATAAGGTTCTTTAAGGCTGGAATTTTATTGCAGGAAAAGTCACGAAAAGGTTGAAAAGTCCATCCTAAGTGCTCCGTTAGCGTTCAGCTCTTGGGCCATGCTTACATGGAGAACAGGGATCCCTGGTACTGCATTACTCTTGGACCCAATGTTCACTACGAGCTACTTGTAGGGAGCTCGGGAAAAACTGTGAATAAGACACTTGCTGAGTGTCAGCCTTCTGTTTTTGTCCTTCCTATTTCCAAACACCTTTCTGTATACTTGTGTTCTAAAGCTCCAAATCGACCATCTACCAGCATAAACAGAGCTCAACATTTCGGTGTATGCTTAGTTAAGCGTTATGTTTACCTCTAGTCAATTTTTACTACTTTTCATAGGGAAACTCAAGTGCTTTTGAATCCTAAAAGAAAAAAAAAACCAAACTTCAAAACAGTGGCCAAACTGCAAACAGATTCAAGATGCTCAGTGCTTTAAGGGCATTAAAGTGACATAATAGAAGTACAACATCTGGGACCAGCTGCAATTCTTCAAGTTTCAAATAAAATTTTCTGTTTGGTATCCAAGATTAAAATGGCCGAGGAGGCAGAGGTGTTGTTAGTTTTGTTTCCTAGCCCTTTGGATAGAGTGGACCACTGCTTCTTAGCCGTGTTAAGATGAAGTGATGTGAAATGGGATTACTGGTCCCTTGCTTCCATGGTTTCCAGATATGGCGATGTGTAGAGCTACAATGCACACAAAACATCTTTCACTGCAGCAACTGACTGACTACCAGGTCAAGTCGTCTGGAACAGTGCTGTTCTGTGGACATTTACCCTCAGGTTCCCACCCAGAACATGAAAATGGTTTGTGGTTAAGGGCAAGCATTTCCATGTTGGAAGAATCAATAGAAGTCTGCAGTTAACCCAGCTGTTGCAAAAGTGAAGATGCCTGGGTGTCATATAAAGAAATAAAATTCTATTTTCATCCATGCATGAAAAAGGTAAGATCTAGTAATGAAATACGGGTTACTGCAGGAAATGGGAACTTCTAGAAAATGAAAAATTTGGGGGGGCTTTATGTTTTATCTTAAGGCATATGTTGGCTAATTGGGGGCAGTGTTGGCTGGGTCTAGAGTAATTTATTACCGCTGTCCTCCACCCTGTGTCTGAGACGCCCATGGTGAAACTGTCTAGGCTTTGAAGAGACACTGCCCTTTTATTTCACTAGTGTGTGAAATACCTGTTTGGTTTTTCTCTGTCAAGCAGGATGTGGTTTAAAGGAGAGACAGTCACAGTTTTCAGTGTGATCCACAGTGGTCGGGAAGCTGGAATCTTCCTTCAAACAGAGTCTACTCATTTGGAGTGCTTCTAAGAGTGAGGAACACAGTAGCACCTTTGAAATGCAGGTCCTTCAGACCACTACCCCCAAGCGTTCCGCAGCTCTGCACGTGGGCGAAAGAAACAGAGGCCAGGGCAGTCTAGAGTAGGACTGAGCTTGTGTGTGCTGCACAAGCCCCTCTAAATACGTAAGGAGGGCTGGTGTCTAAGGAGGGATGCATTTCTCACTCTTCCTGGTGTATCGAGCTCTCCTCAAAGATCCTGCTTTAGAGCCCACAGCTTTGCCGCTGGGCAATGGGTAGGCATCTCTCCTGTTTCGTGAAATACAGTGGTTATCCTGGAAATTCAGACTGCCATAGTTAATTGAATTCTACTGGGAAACTGGCATTGAAATGCTTCTGGGACATGTGCTGGTTCTTTCAGGGTTGTGGTCAGCCTGGCCGAGTTTACGCAGGAGGCGATGACTGTCTACTGGCGTGGATGTCTTAGATGTAAAAGTCTAAATATCGAGACGTTTTGAGGGAAGAGGCAGCTATGGAGCTGATCTCAGGTAACAGAGAGTCAGTTCTGCCATAGCAAATCCTTGTAGGTTCTAACCCTCCAGAAAAAAAAATGACTAGAAAATTTGGCTTACTCCCTAACTTTTGAAATGTGAGAGGTTACAATTCTTACTGGGAATTCTAGACTTACAGTGTTTGCGAATGTGTGTGTTGCTTTCCCCTCTGTCTTGAGCACTCCAGAGTGGGCCTGCCGAAGGCGGGAGATTCAGGGACACCAGTGCAGGGTAGGCAAAATTCCCCCGACAGAGGAGAGGTTTCGTTTAAGCCATCATCTTCAGCCTAGTCTCCACACGTATTTGCCATTTCAGTTTCTGAAACCGAATTTTCTAACAAGAGGCCAAATGACTTACGTCGTGACTGTCAAACCAGTGGTTCGCTGGCTGAAATCTCGGGAGGAAAGAGTGACGGTCTCTCACACACACACAGACGGCCGTCATTACCCTTTCAACTGAGCGGTTATGCCTGTTTCCACACTCAACGTCACATGCAACGGCATTAGGAAGAATCAGCCAAAAGGTCTAGTTCAGTGTCTCTGCTTTCTTCCACAGCCGTCACCATTCCTGAAGTACGTCTAAGAACCTGTGTGAAATCACTGCTTTTATATATGCTACTTATATAACATTTTACTTTTTCTATGTCATCATACAGTATATATATGAGAAACTACTGACTGGATAAAACGAATTCAGCTTTGGGAGAGCAAAGAAAGCACAGGGGGGTTGTACGGTGAAGGCTGTAATAACACCTAACACCGAGATACTGCTGAGGAGAGCAATGGTCTGTGTGTTGCCAACAGAGCACATCTCAGCAGGGTCGTGGACCGGAAGTGCAGGGGAACATCCGGTCATAGCAAAGAACTAATATCAAGAAGCAAATTTGTCTTGTGTTATAAAAATATCAAAAGAGAATTGATTTTTTTGGGGGGAGGCTATGTATCTTTGGGATTTTGCTATGTATCCATTTTCCAAAGTATAAAATAATTTTTTGGTCATCAAAACGTGTAATTGAAGATAACCATTACCCATTTTTTTTGCATCTAAAGTCGATTTGGCTTGAATGTTAATGTTCATTATTAAATGCTGTCCATGTACCTTATTTCACGCTCTGGAATACATTTTCAAAGCAAAGGCCTATCCATGGGTATATGTCTTTGTTTGCAGGATGAAGAAGGTTACTGAACCCCTAACAATTTAAAAAAAAAGCTACACTCATCATCTGAGGCAGACCACAGATGATGTCAAACACAGCTCTTACAGAAACTATAACTTGAAACGCGCCTGGGTCCAGGAACCCAGCGTACAAATACAGCTGACGCCTTCTTGAGATTAAGAGACAAACAGCGGCTGTGGCCTCAGCAACAAGTTTTAAAAGTCACGTTTCCTGCTTTCTCCCCACAGATGGAAACTCGTGGCTGATACGTAAGAGCACCTCCCAGGCAGGAAGAAAGGGTGCCAGGAGGAGGGATGCTTGGCTCGCTAGGCACAGCAGCACTGAGCACGCAGACCTCACGGAGGAAGGGACCCAAAGCAGCTGACTGCCCTTCAAGCTGGATCTCAGAGTGGGGTCAGCACAGGGCATCTCCGCTAAGAGAGATGCGGCACACACAGGCACTGGTGCCAAAGACCACAGAGGGATCACACCTAAGGGGGAGGGCCTCAGAGAACCTCTGGTATTTGTTTGCGTGTTTTACGGGTGTCTTTGCATGGTGACTGGCAGTTTCTGGTATCCAAGAAGGCCGTCCATAGACATCAAACTACAGGTCGAAGAGGGGATTAGCAAGAATATCACTTTAAAATGCAATTGCTGTGTGTGTGTGTGTGTGTTTGTGTGCGCACACGCGCATGTGAGCGTGTGTGAGTGAAATATTTATAAGGAATACCTTCCCGGTACTTCCCACGCTGCTAAAAGGTAACATAACAAACTCGAGTGGCGTCCTTCCCTGCTATGTTTTGGTTGGTCACTACTTGTCTGGGGGTGGGGGTGAGGGTGGGGAACGGGAAAACGTAAATCAAGTACTCCAGTCATCCTTCAGAGCAGCGACTTAAAGGTACAGGTATCCAACCCAATAGACCAGGTTGAACAGCAGGAAGGACGTCGGGAAGAAGACCCGGGAATACGAGTCCAGCTCCGAGACGTCGATGTGGATGCGGCCTCTCCTCCAGGAGCCCGACTTGCACTCTTCGTAGCAGCAAAAGAAGCTCTGGCAGTCTTTGCCATCCAGACACTCGTAGACACAGGTGTCCTCAAACTCCTGCCAGTACACGGAATTGTTTAGTGTGATCATCACCGGTGGTGGAGGCCTCATGTCCAGGAGGGAATAGTTCTGCAGGCACAAGAACAGCACAGTGAGCTGTGAACAGCCCGCGGCACACCTAGTATCGAGTGCATCTTCATGTCTGCTTCCAGACTAGAGGGATGCAGGCCGTTCCCTTCCCACGTTTACATAGCCCTGGGCACAACCCGCTCTTTGCACCATTGCAGCTCAGTGAGCACGATTAAAACCATGTTGCAGTTTTGAAACTTTGTGACCCAGATTTGGGGGGGGGGGAGGGAGGGCCATTTCAAAAATGCCTTAGCCATTTCAAGTCTCAATTCTGTTACCTTGTAGCAACAAACGTAGATACTACATATTTGTTCCTTATAGTTAGAGCACACTGACATTAGAGCGCGGGTAGATAAACACCCTAGCAAACTAGCAAACAGTAACTAGCAAACAGTAACTAGCAAACAGTAACTAGCAAACAGTAACTAGCAAATAGTAACTAGCAAACAGTAACTAGCAAACAGTAACTAGCAAACAGTTACTAGCAAACAGTAACTAGCAAACAGTAACTAGCAAACAGTAACTAGCAAACAGTAACTAGCAAACAGTAACTAGCAAACAGTAACTAGCAAACAGTAACTAGCAAACAGTAACTAGCAAACAGTAACTAGCAAACAGTAACTAGCAAACAGTTACTAGCAAACAGTAACTAGCAAACAGTAACTAGCAAACAGTAACTAGCAAACAGTAACTAGCAAACAGTAACTAGCAAACAGTAACTAGCAAACAGTAACTAGCAAACAGTAACTAGCAAACAGTAACTAGCAAACAGTAACTAGCAAACAGTAACTAGCAAACAGTTACTAGCAAACAGTAACTAGCAAACAGTAACTAGCAAACAGTAACTAGCAAACAGTAACTAGCAAACAGTAACTAGCAAACAGTAACTAGCAAACAGTTACTAGCAAACAGTAACTAGCAAACAGTAACTAGCAAACAGTAACTAGCAAACAGTAACTAGCAAACAGTAACTAGCAAACAGTTACTAGCAAACAGTAACTAGCAAACAGTAACTAGCAAACAGTAACTAGCAAACAGTAACTAGCAAACAGTAACTAGCAAACAGTTACTAGCAAACAGTAACTAGCAAACAGTAACTAGCAAACAGTAACTAGCAAACAGTAACTAGCAAACAGTAACTAGCAAACAGTTACTAGCAAACAGTAACTAGCAAACAGTAACTAGCAAACAGTAACTAGCAAACAGTAACTAGCAAACAGTTACTAGCAAACAGTAACTAGCAAACAGTAACTAGCAAACAGTAACTAGCAAACAGTAACTAGCAAACAGTAACTAGCAAACAGTTACTAGCAAACAGTAACTAGCAAACAGTAACTAGCAAACAGTAACTAGCAAACAGTAACTAGCAAACAGTAACTAGCAAACAGTAACTAGCAAACAGTAACTAGCAAACAGTAACTAGCAAACAGTAACTAGCAAACAGTAACTAGCAAACAGTAACTAGCAAACAGTAACTAGCAAACAGTAACTAGCAAACAGTAATGGGTGATAGGCATTCAAATGGCCAGGCAGCTCTGTTACTGCCTGTAACCCAGGCAAAGAGAGCTTGAACACATGTGACTGGAATACTCTATTCCCAAGCTGTCTTCCTGCCTCAGAAAAGTCAGTGTGGGAGGAAAGGGGAGTTAAAGACTCGCTGCTCTTTCAGAACTGAGAGGCATCATCCAGCTTGCAAAGAGCCTTTCAGTGGAAGGTTTTCAGACAGTTGTCAACGCCTCAAGGGCTATTAAGCACACTGTGCACTCAGTTCCATTAGGGAAAGGTACTGTTAAGTCTGACTAAATAGCAGAAGGTAACTGGAAGGATTTACGCATCTTAAAAACAGACTAGGCCCCTAATATCAGACATGAGAAGCCCTCTTTGGGGTTGTTGATCGGGTTGTTTGAGAGACTACCAAGCATATAGCCTATTGCTCTTGGGTTTTGTTACCCACACGTAGTGAGAGGCAAATCAGAAGACACCGCTGAAGACAAAGTGTACTCCAGATGCAGGGCCCAGAGACTCCTGAACTAGAACTGACCCGAAAGCCTCCTCCCGCTGGATTAGCTTTCATGATACCAAAAAGTACCAGTTGAGCCTCCAAGGGAGGGAATTACCCATCAGTTATATCCAGCTATAATGTCTATGAACTGCAAATATGAGTAGCATGGCAGGATCACCCTAATGGTGCAGTAGCACGATAACCCCAATGCGTGCATGCATGTGTGCATGTGTGAGTGCGTGCATGTGTGTGTGTGTGTGTGTGTGTGTGTGTACATGTACATGTATGCTGTAACAACATTAGTGACAGAAGAGATCATGAATTTGAAAAGTGGAAAGGGTGGTATATGGGGAGAACTTGGAAGGAGGAAGGGAAAATGATGTAACTATATCATAACCTCAAACACTAAGAAGACTAGCCTGGGCTGGAACTTAGCGCGTACCCCAGGCTGGCCTTCCTCCTTCAGTCTTCTCAAATCACAGGCCTATACCACTGTGCCCATTTCTGGGGACCCATTTCTGAGCTGCCTGAATAGGGGAAGGCTCCTCTCTGGCCACGGTTGCCACATTGCTGAGAATAAGGTCGTTCTAAGTTGTTAACAGTCTGGACCATGCCACAGAGAATGACACTCAGCCTTATCAGAGTCCTTAGAAATGTTCCTCACACAGGCAGTCACATTTATCTGTGTGTTTTTTTTTTTTAATTTAATTCGGATGGTTAGATTTGGGGCTATGCAGCAGTACAAATGGACATAAGTGTTGAGTAGTCAGAGTTCTACCATGAAGCCTTGGGAGCCTTGCACACAGGAAGCATGTGTGTCCATGTATGTTGGGGAGAGTCCAGCTGTAAGCAGGATGCTTAGCATCCAGTGTCCACTAGGAGCCTTCAGTGTACCACTGTGTAGCAGAATCCACAGCTCTGGGGCACAAGCAGAGTGGAAGACTCGCCGTGCCCAGCTCCGGTGAGGACATGCGCCATCTACCCTCATGACTATGAAGCCCAAGCATATATCAAAACCCACCAGAGATGTCTCTGTCAATTATCCAGTGTATCTGAGGGATAAATGTCCTTCCGACAAGCTCCATTTGGGAAAATCTATCTTTATTAGACAATAACTGTATTAGAGGTTTTCTTTATTTTATTTTTTGCCTTTATACCCCTTTTCTCCTCTTTAAAAATTTTTAATTTAAATTAGAAACAATCTTGTTTTACATGTCAATTCCAGTTCCCTTTCCCTCTCCTCCTCCCCTGACCCGCAGTGACCCTTTATCCCATCCCCTTTCTGCTCCCCAGGGAGGGTGAGGCCTTCCATGGGGGATCTTCAAAGTCTGTCATATCATTTGGAGCAGGACCTAGGCCCTCCCCCTTGTGTCTAGGCTGAGAGATGTCCCTGTGTGTGGAATGGGCTTGCAAAGTCCATTCATATACTTCAGATAAATACTAATCCACTACCAGGGATCCCATAGATTGCCCAGGCCTCCTAACTGATACCCGCATTCAGGGATTCTGGGTGGGTCCTCTGCTGGTTTCCCAGCTATCAATCTGGAATCCATAGAAGCTTTCTTACATGTGTGCCTTAGCATTTTTCAGACTGGCATTCATCCACTCAGCCCTTCAACCCTATGTACCAAGTGTACCAAGCAATCCTCCAGTAATGCTATGGATGTGGGCTGTGGGCAGGGCAGATGATGGACCTTGAGGGAAGACACTGAGCCTGGCTAGGCACCAGGACTGCCTCTAGGGATAGGGACAAATCATTAGAGATGGTGACTGTGGGGCTTACAGGAATAGCAGCACGGAGGGTTCTTGGGACATGGGAAATATCTATGTCTTTTTTACAGTTTAGGGAAATGAAGATCTGGGTTACCACTGTCAGCAGAGCTCCAGGGCTTGGTAGCCTTCCAGTATGAAACGAGCTCCACATCACAGCACTGAGCTAGAACTTACAGCGTGGCAAGCCTTCTATGGCTGTATCGTGTGTTGTGTGAGCGCCTCTTTTATGCCCCTGCTCGTTTTTTCCTCAAGAATTTAAGCTATGCCCAAAAGAGATTTAACAGTTGCTTCCCTCAGTGTCATCTTTGGCCCAGCCAGTGTGAGACTCCTTCCTCTTTCATCACAGAACGCTGGCTTCCAGAGTCCTGTGAAAGGCATTAGCTTTGCATTTAACAAGTTAGGGAACTAAGGCACAAGGCAGTGTGGGCAAATTGTGTCAGCCAGAACATGTTCCTGGTTCCACCCTTATCCTGAGGAGACTTCTCACTTGAGTTGTATTATTTCTGGGAATAAAATGAAATAGGAGCCCAATGGGCAAATGCTCTCTTCCCCCCACCCCACCCCCTCCATGGCTGTGTGAGCCTTAGTTGACTGTAAACCGCAGTGGGCCTTCTTGTGTTTGGTAGCACCTTTTGCTGTGAATCGTCTTTATAGCTTCCTCTAGATCATTAAATACCTTCCCCTTTTGTCCACAGTTTTCTTTTGATGGGGGGGGGGAGATTCCCCTTTTTCTCTGAGTTTAAAAATTTCCTACCCCCATCTTTCAGCAGAATCAGTTCTACACCAAAGACATTGGTATTTTCCTCAGCACCCAGTTTGTGCGTGAAGACTGCTCATGGGGTCCTCAGGGCTGTTAGTCCTGATTGGTGGCTGTCACCGTGCACCTCACAAATCCATAGCCTCGTCTAACACTCATCAGAAGCATTTGCTGCTGGCTTCTCAGGGCTGACAAGATGATTGCCCAATACTCTTCTGACAAAAGCCCCATGATAAAGATTATGTGTTTTTTTCCTCATAAAAACATGGTTGAGATGCACAAAATGTAAGGCTCTGCTAAGCACTGGGAACCAGCCACGATGTTCAGGTGGCAGGAAACATTCAGTGTAATTAGCGAGCGGCTATAAATCAGAGGAATAAAAGTCATGACTCCATACAAACACAGCACGTGACAAAAAAAAAAAAAACGGTACTCAGGTCAGTGGTTTTAAATGACATTCCTACATTCCTGAAAATTTCGTTCCAGTGTCATTCTTAACAGCAACTGTTGGGGTTTGATTTCACTACACTCAGTTTCACTCGCTGTGAGCATAAAACGAGCTGATATCTAGTCGTATACTATGTCAGAAGTGCTCAAAAGACAGTGAGGGGGTCGTGTTATTTGTGAGGGAAGAAGGACATGCAAGCAGGGTATTCAGGACACAAACAATGGCGGGGAGGGAGAAAGAAAAGGAAAAGACAAAAAACCAGTTCATGACAGTGAAGTGAGAGCTAGAATAAATATCACATCACAAACCGAAGGCTGATATCCCCAATATATTCAAAATGTAACTGTAGGCACTTCAGATGGTCTATAAAATGCAACAACAATTAACAGAAAGGCCTGGAAGATTGCTACTTAAAACATAAAAGAAGTTTGGGTTGGAGAGATGGCTCAGCAAAGGCCATTGAGTTTCTCAGTGTGCATAAATGCGTAGAACTCAAATGTCTGAAGTCTAGCCAGTAGCAAGAGGGTCCCTATATGGACGGGTTAGGATGCTTCCCCTGTTGTGCAAGAGTGTTCTAATTTGGTTGCTTATAGCAATAAAAAGACTCTTAATTGGTCAAATGCAGCACTCGTTTGAATTCAATGCACACATTTACGAAGAACACATCTTTCATCACAAGCTTAGTCTATCTAGTCAAGAGTTTCCAGAAATACTGGCAACTATAAATCTGTACATACCGAGGGTGCCTGTAGGCTTATTCGATCAGGAATCCATCTTGTGGAATCTGAATGTAATAACTGCAGGGGAAAACAAAACAAAACAAAAGGAAAGCAGAGTTGGAAAGTGGCCTTGGACAACTCTGCAGGCTTGAAGGCAAACCCACCCCAGCCCTGTCGACAGCAGTTGCTGACACTGGAGAGTGGGAGGCATCTCCATCTTCCCGCCCATCACAATCTTATCGTCCTAAGGTCCTTAAAGGACACATAACAGCATTTCAGGACACATTCCTCTTACACTGCGCTCCCGAGAAACCCCGGCTACCCTAGCCACTCACCGATGTCTTCTTCTTCCTGACGGCTGGCTTTCGACAGCTGGAGTAGTAGTTGAGGGTGGCGTACTCCATCAGCGCAGCGAAGACGAACAGGAAGCACACGGTCACGAAGAGGTCCATGGCAGTGACGTAGGACACCCGAGGCAGGGACTTCCTGGCAATGGTGCTGAGCGTGGTCATGGTCAGCACTGTGGTGATGCCTGCAGGACAGTTTTCAGCTTGGAAGAGGACAGCGCACCAAACCAGAAGTCCGAAGGGGACGCGGATTAGATGCCAGCCAAGAGTGTTGAGCGCTGACTCTGAGCGCTGTCCCAGGCAAGCGATATGCGGCAGTGGGAGAACAGCTTCACAGTCAGCCGCAACTGGGAAGAGAGCTGGCAGACTCCAAAGTGAGCAAGGTGAAATGGGGGGGAGAAGCCTGGAAACACACATTCAGCCTATTTCCCAATTGCATTCCACACCCCTGATAGGTTATGGGAGCACAGCACAATCCACATCGAGGAACCCATGTAAGATAGATTGTAACAGTTCGCTGTTGGTTTGGCATTTAACCTTTCAGATGTTTTCCGGTGAAGAGGCAGCCTCTAACCTTCCTGCATGCCCTATGCTGCTTTGCACTCCAAGTTGTAGCCTGCCTCATTCTTTCTGCTCGCTCACGGTGTAAACCCCTGCCACTTTATCCTCAGCCCCAGCATCTCTCTTCCTGAGACGCCTTCTCTGAGAACACCAATGGACCAGTTTTCACACAGTTTCCCCCTTTTCACTTCTCTGTTGCTACTGTTTCATTTCATTCACGTCACACACAGTTATTAATGCTCAGAACACACGATCAAGTTTCACTTTCTGTTTCATTTGTTCAGTTTGTCTTCTTTTTTTTTTTTTTTTTTTTGGTTTTTCAAGACAGGGTTTCTCTGTATTGTTTTGGAGGCTGTCCTGGAACTCGATCTGTAGACCAGGCTGGCCTGGAGCTCACAGAGATCCGCCTGCTGTCTTTTTTTTTTTTTTTTAATTATTTTATGTGCATTGGTGCGAAGGTGTCAGGTCCTCGGGAACTGGAATTACAGACAGCTGTGAGCTGCCGTGTGGGTGCTGGGAATTGAACCCGGGTTCTCTGGAAGAGCAGATAGTGCTTTTAATCACTGAGCCGTCTCTCCAGCCCAGTTTGTCTCCTTATGTCTTATTTTCCTTCCTGCTGTTCTGTAACTTACCTCAACCATTTGTTCTGTTCTTTCTTGATTTTTTTTAAGATCTTAAGGCGCTTGTTGGCACCGACTGTTCCTATGACATCTTTGAGTGCCCATCACACTGTACAGCATGTCAAAGGTCATTCAACTAGTGTGTATACAGGATTTACCCCCATTTCCACAAAATGTAGACACCTTACTGGTTTTTTCCTTTTCTGCGGTCATAATGTAGCTGTCATAGACAACTTCTTTAATCAGTTAAGGCTTCTTTCAGGCTATGTTAGGTCCCGAGTGCTTGTAGACTTTAAGTTGAGAGTCTGTTCCCCTCTATGATTTCAACAAGAACCCACTCTCATCCAGCCTGTGATGTCCTTTTGGGAAAGAGTCTATCTTTATCCTCTATTACTTTAAGGATTTTTTTCCATTTTTGAGTTTGGTCATAATCTGCCTTATCATGAAATTCTTTGGACTTACCTTGTTTTGAATTTACTTAGCTTCAAGAATATGCACATTTGTCTGCTTCTTAAAAAATTGGAGTAATGTTAAGCCATTATTTCTTTGAGTACATTTTCAGCCTACGGGTTTCTTCTGGGACATCTATAGCAGAAATATTAGACTTTATTCCTCAGTATTTCATAAGCCCTGGGGTCAATGTGTTTATGTTTTCTCAGCCTATTTTCTTTTCACAGATCTTTTCCCCTGGCATCCTCAGTTTTGTGAGTTATTTTCTGTCCTAAAACTGTATTTGGTTCTCCACTGCATGATGCTGCCTTGTTGATCTGTGCTTCTGTTTTATTTACCTCAAGTGTGCTCATCAAGACATGTTCTGACTGATATTTCAGAACCCTGTTCAGATAATGCTAACATCTGCCACCTCCAAACTGACACGTTTCATGGTATGCTCTGTGACTTTTGGGTTGCATTTGGATATTTGGGGAATTAACTTCTGTGATAAAAGTATTATTCTACAATAATTAAATGTCGTCATAATTATAACATATTTTGTCAAAAACCATTAAAACAAAAACTCTTATATGTAGTCAAAATTTCTCCTGTCCCCATAAAATTTTACCAAAGTTTATAAATGGAAAGGAATTTATATCATAGAAGATGCCTTTATTATATATAATTGGCAAATTTTCATGGTGGTGTATATTGTCCTATAACATGCAGTGCATATTTATTTAAATATATTTTGTGTCCCAAATATTCCTGTTCTCTTCATTAAAACTTTTTGTTTTTCTGAGAATTTTTAAATGTAGTCTAACATTAGATTTGTAAGTTTTCTTATAAAAATTGCTTACCTGTGATTTTACTATGGAAAGTAAATTTTGTATGTGGGTTCTGTGCCAGATTTATTAGTTGCAAGACTTTATACCATCAAAGCAGAGACACAACTAATCAGTGTGTTTTCTCCTCACTGTGTTTAAACGTCTGGCACAAACAACTTAAGGGAAGAAAGATCTTTTTTTGGTTCATGGTATAGGGAGCATTAATACATCATGTCAGTAATGATGTGGCAGCCAGGGCCAGGCTCATGGAGGTGGGAACTTGTGACATGTTTTTATTAGTCTAATTAATTTGAGTGTTTCATTTCCCTGTAGTTTCTGGCCTTCTGGAACAAACTTTTCAGTTTTTGTTTCATTCGACATATCTTTAGTTCAGCACAGTTTTGGAAGTGTATTTTCTATGGACACAGGGTTTGAATGGACAATACCTTCTGATTTTAATACTTGAAGGGTGACAATCTCCTGGCCTTCATGTGGTAAGCGATAAACCACATATCTGAGTTCAAGCTTTTTCCTTTTGAGATAGGGTCAGTCTATTGTAGCCCAAGATGATCTGAAGCCCCTTTCTTGGGTCTTTGAGTACCAGACTGCTGAGAACAGAAGACACAACGCTAGTCAGAGTAGTCTCTCAATCAAGGCTGCCCTGCCTAGGTGTACTATAGTAATCTGTACTCCAGGGGAAGTGGCTGTTTGTTCCCCCTCTGCAGAACAGGTTTGCTGAGTTTGGATTTTGATATTTTCACATTATTTACTTAACAAACCCTCAAACACATTATTTACCTTACACTTATTAATATTTCATGACTAGTGCAGATTTTGTAATCTTTACAATCTTAAATCATGGCAAGTTCACGTGGGTGCCTTACAAGCATTTATGAGTAAATGTTGGTGGTTACTTATCATAAACATAAATGCCTCTTGGTCCTTCACAATAATGTAGAACACATGTGGGCAGGCCTTAGTGTTTAAAAGTTAGGATTATTTTTAAAAATGTCTATTTCAGGGTTGAATTTAGGCCACAGCAAATTAAACATTCAGTTTCAAAACTATTAAGAATCCATTTAACATGTTCTCCAGACATGCCACAGGTAGATAGATACATAGGGAAGCATATATTATATATCATTAAAGTGCCAACTAGAGTATGACATGAGATTCCTCATCTAGCAGGATCTTAGGGTTTTTTTTCCATTTTAAAAATCTTTTCTTTTTACTTATTCTTTGTGCCCTTCACATGCATCTTGATCCCGTTCCTCTTCCCATTTCTTTGTATCCACTCTCTACCCTTGCAACTTCCCCCGCGACCACCCCCAAAAAAAAAACAAAACCGTAATAAATTTTAAGAGAAAAGAAGAAAAAGAAAGAAACAGAAAAATCTTGTCATGGAAGCTGTGGTGTCACAAGGTAAACCCTTTTGTGCCTATGTCTTTACTTGCAAATGTTCACGGCAAAGGGTCACTGGTCTAACCGGTTGGAGGCGCCTGGCTTCTGCTACACCATTGATGCTGGGCCCTCACGGGACCTCCTCTTGGGTATCCTCTTGATCCCTGTGCCGTGGGGGACCCTGAGGCTTTGAATCTGCAGGACCTGCTTCTTTGTGTGCTCCAGCAAGTCTTCACCCTGGTTCTGAGCCCGAGTAGCTACAGGTTTGGTCTGCCCACCAGCTCTCCTCCGTCCCCACGACCTGGGTGAGCGCTCAAGAATTGCCCCAGCTAGTTCTCCTTTCACAATAAGGAGCCAGGGGTGGGATCGGCTCTCTGGTTCTCATGCTCCCAGAGCCGGCTCACTCACACCCGCATCAGCACCGAGGCCAGTTCCACTGTGCTGACCAGGAGACTTACAGGGGTCACTCACTCTCCCAAGCACTGCAGCTGGTAAAGGACAGGAACGGCTCTCCCCTTCTTTTTTTTTTTCCTTCTCTTTTCTTTTTAATTTTCATTTTTAATTTTAAATTATTTAAATTAGAAATAATGTTGCTTCACATGTCAATCCAAAGTCCCTCTCCCTCCTCTCCTCCTGCGCCCTCCCACCAACCCCCCCAATATCCCCTCATTTACCCAGGGAGGGTGAGGCCCTCCATGGGGGTGTCCATAGTCTGTCATTTCATCCAGGGCAGGGCCTAGACCCTCCCCCAAGAGTTCATGGTGAGAGTGCATCTCTCATTGTTGGATGGGAACCCAAAGTCCGTGTGTATACCCAGGATAAATACTGATCTACTGCCCAAGGCTCAATAGATTACCTAGGCCTCCTCACTGACACCCACATTCAGGGGTTTTGATCAGCCCCATGCTGGATTCCCAGGCATCAGTCTGGGTTTCAAGAGCTAACCCTTGTTCAGCTCCAGCTCTCCCATTCTTAAGACACCAGGGCTAGCTCTCCTAACAGTCCCAGGCAGCCAAGGTATGTGTGTGTGTGTGTGTGTGTGTGTGTGTGTGTGTATATATATTTGTGTGTTTCTTTCACCCACACCACCATATGGCAGATGAGGGGTGGGCCCAGATCTCCTGTACTCATGTTCTCAGGGCTCACCCGACCAGTCAACAGGATCAGCTCTACTGGGATGACCAGGTGAGGCGTAGAACCAGCTTCTCTGAGTGCTACATCAGGTAAGGGGGAGGGTCAGGTCCCTCATCTGCTGCAGGTGGTGAGGGTCCAGGGGGGCACCTTCCCTTGGCTCACGATGCCATATGACAGGAGAAAAACGGCCGGCTCTCCCGTGCTCATACCCTTAGGGCTGGCTCCTCTACGCTCCTGCCAACAGGGTCAGCTCTACTGAGCAGGACCTTTGAATTAATCAATTTCATGCTTTCAGTCAGATATGGGACCATGACAGAAGTTGTCATGCAGTAGAGGCTCAAAAAATTAATGTCCCAAGAAGATGTAAACGCTCTACCCTGTTATTTTTCAACTGGGACATTTTCCAAATAAGAACTACTGATGCGCGTGTTGGGCTCCTTGGTCACAGTGTGAACCTCTTGGGATCTGAGTTTCCAAATCCGTCAGACAAATTAAGAAGTAGAGTATATCTGAGGCCTCGGAGCAGGCTTTGGAGTTTCTGCTGGCACTGAGGCCACTGTAAAAGTAAACCAGGGAGTCTACTTCAGAGACAGGGAGGAGGGGCAGTTAGGAACATGCGCTCTAAGTCTTTGAACAGGATCACGTTGTATCCAGTGGGCCAAAATAAATAACGATCCGCTGGACAAACAGATGCTACTGTGTGCCAGATGAGGGCCACACTGAGGATGCCTTGCACTACACAGCACCGTTACCATTGCGACCAGGAGTTCTGATGACTAGGCAGTCTGTGAAGATTAGTGCAGCTACATGGCAGGCCTTTTCCCCCCACGCCATAAGCCTAAAACAAAGTTAATTTGGTTGGACTGGGAGATTATGTGCACCCACCACGGCCCCCGGCTCTTTAGCTAATGCACTGAGGCTTGTTTCTTATATGGAGCCCATCCTAAGAGACAATAGAAACAAGGAGCTTCTCATAGAGAAGCAGTAAGGAACGAGGATTTGGATACTTTATACATTGTAACAAGGGAATTTTATAAAAATCAAATACTTGACACCTCCTTGGAAGAAATCTGCTGCCTATTCTTCTGATGCACACTTTGATTGAATATATATATTCAGAGAGAGAGAGAGAGAGAGAGAGAGAGAGAGAGAGAGAGAGAGAGAGAGAGAGAGAGGCCTAAATTGGATACTGAAAAGAATCTGTCTGGTTCACATAGCTCTTAAATCAAATGTATCTGAATTCTCTTCAGTTGAAGGTATTTTGTGAATGTTTCTGTATTAAAACTGCACAAAATGGTGAATGAAGTTTTTTTTGCAACTCACCTAATGTTGTTCTTGCTGGTGTTGCATCTTTTTTGATCCAAAACGACACCCAGGAGAGAACCACAGTCAGTATGCAGGGAATATATGTCTGGATAGTGAAGTAACCCATTCTTCTGCTGAGTTCGAAGTAGATAGTCATGACAACATAATCACCTGTAGTAAAATATCCCCCGAATCAAGATGACATGCATGGGTTAAAACAGTGTAGGGAACTGACGTATAATTTAACCTTCAAACTAAATTACTTGAATGAAGACTCCGAGTACTGCAACACCCATTGGAAAAAAGCACCAAATGTTAGTGCTATGGAGCTGTACCACGCCTGTGACTTTGCAAACATTTTACTGTGCAGCGTAAAGGACACACTGAAATATGTTTGTAGGGGACAGGCATGCACATTTACTCAGTGGCAGGCAATTTGATAAGGGATTGTTGCTGGAGATCATCTGTAGGCCGCACAATTACATCAAGAGTCACAAGAAACATTAGCCCTCAGACAGATCTAGGTCATTCTAAAACTTTTTGTCTCTAATAACAGCAGAAATAAAACTTCTCCTTTTTCATTTGTAATAATTCTGTTACTTTCAGAGAGTGGTGCATGGTAAAATGTCAGTTGTGCCTCATTGTGCCGCTGCAAGAAAACACGCGTATCTCCATGTGACATGTGTATCACTACCCATGTCTCCATCATCCTGTCTTCATAGTCACTTAAAACAAAGAGAAAGCATTGAATATCTTTAAAAAGAGAACTGTGCGAAAACTTTATTAAAATCTGGTTTTACTTCAAAGCCATATTTAATCTTAAAGTATTCACTATTAAAGCAAGCGAAACATGGGAAATTTTAAGTATACCAACCACGTAAAAAGTTAATTAGCTAATATGTTTACATTAAAATTAAGTTCTCGAAAAAACTATACAATGATTATTTGGATTAATAAGTAGCTATTACCGAATTATCTTTTTTTCTCTATGAAATTTTTTATTTTAATTTTAAGTAGCTTGTTTTACATGTCAATCCTAGTTCCCTCTCCCCCTCCTCCCGCACCCCCCAGCCCCCCAATCCTCCCACCCTATTGCCAATTCCTTCCACATAGGGGATATCTAGAGTCTATCATTTCACTCAGGGTAGGGTCCAGGCACTTCCCTAAGAGTCCAGGCAGACAGAGCAACCCTCTTTCTGTTATGGACACATGATGTCTGTTAGTATTCGAGGGATAAACACTGATCCACTGCTCAGGACCTCATCTTTTAAAATAAATTTTAATGTTTAAATATTAGTGAGATCTTTTTCCCTTCGGCTACCCCCATTTACTCTCACGTTTAAGTTGAAGACATTTATGTTTAGACTGTGTTTCAGAATTATGCTCAGAGCATTTATATTTCTACCAGTCGTAGCAGCCCTGTGTTGGTTCCTAACTGGATGAAGGGTCAAGGGTACTGAGTGATGCTACATAAAAATACTGTGGAACTCTGGCTTCAGCTGCAAAGTCTGAAGAACCAGGGACTTGTACTCTTATGTTAAGAACAAGAAATGGGTGTGCAACACGCACACTGAACATCATCATATTGGTGGTTTCAAGAGGGAAATGAGATCACAGGGGAGGCCATGGTCCCAGGAGGGCGTCCAGAGAGATGCTGGGGATGAGATAGTCATAGGAAAATGCAGAAGACATCAGAGGCCAGAGGTCAGCAAGACACTGGTATCTGAAGAAAACCTGCAGAGGTGTCATGAAGAATTGCAAGAATGAGAAGTTCCCAAGGGCAGTAGGCACGCTGAAGTTGGTCACCAAGACCTTGCAAGTCCTCACTTGGATCCAGATGGGGGGTTCTGAGGAAGCTGTCAGCATGCACTGCTTGTCAGAAGTGTAACCACCACAAATCTTCCTAGGACTCTCCAGGCAGTGGTGGCGCACACCTTTAATCCCAGCACTCAGGAAACAGAGGCAGGGGAATCTCTGTGAGTTTGGGGCCAACCTGTTCTACAGAGAAATTTCCTGGATGAGCTCCAAAGCTACACAGAGAAACCCTGTGTTTCTCAGAAAACAAACAACAACAACAAAAATCTCCCCTGGACTCTTAAAACTGGCAAGTTTTCTAAAACCAAATAGATTCAGACAGACTTACACAGCCATTAAAGCCTTGGAAGACTTGGTGACTAAACGCAGAGTGATATCTGTCATTGCTAAAAGAGAGGCTGTGGAGGAAAAGGAGGAACCCTGGTCATTATCGTGTTTACTTAATAATTCTGAATCAACATTAGCTCATCTGTTTTTCAAATATGCTGCAGTAATTTATAGGAATGAGGAAACTGGGTCTAAGTTGCCAAAGAACCCTATGCTATCTGCACAATTTTTCTGTAAGTCTGGAAACTGCTCTACGCTAAAATGCCCTGTATTTAAAACTGTAGCCCCCAGTACAGAGAAATATAATCTCTTTATTAAATTAGGCTTTTCAAAATCCCAAGATTTTACAAAAATTCTCAATTTGGCTGAGACCAATCCTTTCATGATTCATCTGTCTAAATAAAGCACCTGCTGGAATAATGAATGAAGTGGGTCATCATGTGATATAATCTACTCTTGACCAACCTATTGGAGCAACCAATTGGAGCAAACTAATCACTTGTCTATAGTTATTGCTCACTAACAACTTTTATCGAACCCATCAAAGATGTAAGTTTCCAGGACAAACAACTAATCTAAATTATGAAGGTAGAAACTGGTGGCAAAAAAAAATCTGCCTCTAAGCACTGCCTGTCTGGGAAAAATACAAGCAAACATGTTATTATCTGGCAAGTATATGCAGCATAAATTTGCATCTAATCTGCCTAATGCCAGCTGTGAGGTGCCATGAAAGTTTGAAGCCCCTTGGTGGCCACAGTTACCTTTTCCCTTCCTCCCTTAATATTTTTTTCTCTCTCAAGAGAACTACCAGACTTTCCAAAGAAAGACTGAGAATTTGAAAAGAGCCACCCCATGAGCTAATGTAAGAGAGCAAGAAAATCTATGCCTGTACCTGTACGTGTTCCATGAAACAGGTTTCAATGTGTAGGAACCAGGATAGCAAGACCCATTTTCAAAGCCAGAGGTAGAAACCAAACGCAATTATAGGCTACGGGTAAGGCATCTGGAACACACAGGATTGGAGAGACGTGAGAAAGCCTGGCAAGGGGCTCAGTACATGTCAAAGAGGGATGGGAATGATATTCAAGAATAAGAACCGCAACTGCAAATCCTCCCAGAGACTGGGTCTTAGTTTAAGCGTTGGATGATACCTTACCTCACTTCTTCTTTTCTATGACACCCAACATAACAAGCACTGTCAAAGGCCATGAGTGAGATGGAGGTAGAGACAACGTAGATGATTTCTGTCTAAGAAGAGAGAAAGGAAGATCCCCGAAGGCAAGTGGGAAACTGGGAACAGAGATGGCCTGACATTTTAGGAGTCTGCACTTCATGTGTGCTTATGCATCTGCAGGTAAAGGCAGTTGTGAGCTGTGTGGCATGGGTGTTGGAGCTGAAGTCAGGTCCTCTGTAAGAGCAGAATACAGCCTCCAGTGCTGAGTCATCTATGCAGCCTCTCACCCAGCTTTTGACTGAGTGCGCTAAAATGCTCCCACACCGACGGCCATCCATTTCCAGGTATGGGATATGCTCAGCGTCTGCTTTTAGTATAAAACACGCCTCGCTTACAAGTGAAATGATTGCACCTGCAACAAATCAACAGCAGTCTGAAGAGACAATATCAGCCAGTTAAACCAGAACTAGGTATGGGAAAACATCATCATTGCTTCATACAATAAACATTCCAGTGGAGCAGCAGAGGGCATGAATGATAAAAACAGGTCAGAAAAGTTTTGAGAAACAGTCAAAAAGAGATGAAAGAACTCCAGAGACCCATACAGTAAGAGAGATGAAGCAACATACTGGCTGACCACAGCAAAAAACAAAAGAAATACTAAACAGGTGAATATGAATTATTCACTATGGAACACAAAGTGGAATTTGAGTTTGAAAGTCTGAACAGAGTGAAAAGGTACCATGGGAAAGGAACCAAGAGTCCAATAAACCTAGAGTACCACAAGATATAGATAGAATAGGATTATTTGACTAATCCAAAAGCTCCCAACACCAGGCAGGACAATCACAAAATTCACTAAGAAGCAGTAACAATGAAACACACACAAACACATCAAAAGCTGTGGAATTCTGGTAGCAGGGCAATGTTGTGAGTTTGTCTACAGAGAAGAGTGACAGGGGAAGACCTTCTGTGTATATGTTGTCCGACTAGTTGATAAATAAAGCACTGTTGGCCAATAGGGAAGCAAGATAGGTGGGACTAGGAGTCAAGGAGGATTCTGGGAAATGTAGTCAAGAGTGGAGAGTCGCCATGTGATCTCAGGAAGATAAGTCATTGTAAAAATATATAGATTAATAATTATGGGTTAATAATGAAGTCAAAGCTAGCCAATGAGGAAACCATAGCAAACGGCCAACAGTTTCATAATTAGTATAGTGTCTCCTGTGTTATTTGGGGGCTGAGATAGTGGTTGGGACCTAGGCAAGTGGCAGGAAGGTTTCATGTTACAGAAGAGAAACGTTCTTCCTGCAGAAGAACAAGGGAGAGTCTTGTAGTAGAGTTAGCTTCTAAAATTGTGCAAGTATATTAGATTTGTTTCTATTACTGTGATAAAACACCATAGGCAATGTGTCTTATAGGAGAAAGAGTTTATTTGAGCTTATGGTTTCAACAGTTAGGGTCTATAAAGTTAGAGTGAAGGTGTAGCACCAGGAACCAGTAGCACCCACTTTTTTTGTAGTTGTTTTTTCTTTTGTAAATTAATTTATTTTTTAAAATTTCATTTTACATTCAAACCACATCTCTCTCCCATCCCTCCTCCCAACTCACCACCTCACCTACAGGCCTCTTCCATCCACTCCTCCTCACAGGTTAAGGGCTCCCATGAGGAGTCTGCAAAGTCTGGCACATTAAGCTGGGGTAGGACAAAGCCCCTCTCCTATGCATTGAGACTGACCATGGCATCCCACCATAGGGAATATGCTCCAACGAGGTAGCTTCCATCTTAAGTCACAAACTCAAGGCAGAGAGAATAAACTAGAAATAGCTCAAGTCGCTAAACTCTCCAAGTCTT